ATAGCAAGTTGTAACAACGTTCTAATACGTCATAAACACGTTAAGCCAAGACGTAACAACTTTATTACAAGTTGTAACAAGCGGAAAATAGAGACAGTTACGGTTTGTGTTTCCAGGGCTATAACTACTACCACAAAGGTAAAATTGGATCACAAAGGCTATTGGGCAGATGAAAACTCACCAGACAAAATAATAATAATATTATAATATATTAATATATAATTTATAATTTGAAATGATAGCATCACTGGAAATATTGAGGGTATAATACTGAGGAACATATTTAATAACAATGAGGTTTAGATAACAAAAGCAGTAATGATAACTTGCAATATCAATCATTATAATAACTGGAATTCTGTCATATCATGCTCTTGCAATTAAGACGGTTCACATTGCATTTTTTTGTCCTCTTCGTTATCAGAGAGAGATTGGTGATGTAAAATGATTAATAATTCACTGTGTGTGCGTATCGTGTCCGCGCAAGCGCGTGCGCATGAGTGGCTTCCTCTGTTTCCATGGTGATTGCTGGTCAAGTCCGCTAGAGTGTGTGTGTGTGTGAGAGAGAGAGAGCACACACACCCAGAGAGAGAGAGAGAGAGAGAGAGAGAGAGAGAGGAGAGAGAGAGAGAGAGAGAGCGAGAGAGAGAGAGAGAGAGAGAGAGAGAGAGAGAGAGAGAGAGAGAGAGAGAGAGAGAGAGAGAGAGAGAGAGAGAGAGAGAGAGAGAGAGAGAGAGAGAGAAATGTTTGTAATATACATGATACAGGAAATTAGATCATGAGTCGGTACATTAGACAACTCATGGTTAGAAAGGCGGGGTCCAAGAACTAAGAGCTCGATCCTATAGACACCAAAAATAGTAAATACAAACACACACACACACACACACACACACACACACACACACACACACACACACACTCCCGGGTGGAAACATTTGACTTTTTAGGGGCCTCGTAGCCTGGTGGATAGCGCGCAGGACACGTAATTCTGTGGCGCGGGTTCGATTCCCGCACGAGGCAGAAACAAATGGGCAAAGTTTCTTTCACCCTAAGTGCCCCTGTTACCTAGCAGTAAATAGGTACCTGGGAGTTAGTCAGCTGTCACGGGCTGCTTCCTGGGGTGTGTGTGTGGAGTGGGGAAAAAAAAAAAAAGTAGTTAGTAAAACAGTTGATTGACAGTTGAGAGGCGGGCCGAAAGAGCAAAGCTCAACCCCCGCAAAAACACAACTAGTAAACACAACTAGTAAACACACTTAAAGTTCAGAGGTATGCCACTAGACTAGTCCCAGAACTAAGAGGCATGAGTTACGAGGAAAGGCTGCGTGAGATGCACCTCACAACCCAGGAAGACAGAAGAGTAAGGGGAGACATGATCACTACCTACAAAATTCTCATAGGAATTGACAGGGTATATTAAGAAAAACATTTTAACAAGGGTGGTATGCGAACAAGGGGACACAAGTGGAAACTGAGTACCCACATGAGCCACAGGGACGTTAGAAAGAACTTTTTCAGTGTCAGAGTAATTAACGGATGGAATGCCTTAGGCAGTGATGTGATGGAGGCTGACTCCATACACAGTTTCAAATATAGGCGATGAGTCACAATAACGTGGCTAAAGTATGTTGACCAGACCACACACTAGAAGGTGAAGGGACGACAATGTTTCGGTCCGTCCTGGACCATTCTCAAGTCGATTCAAATGTAGATATGATAGAGCCCAGTAGACTCAGGAACCTTTACACCAGTTGATTGACAGTTAAGAGGCGGGACCAAAGAGCCAGAGCTCATCCCCCGCAAGCACAACTAGGTGAGTACTGTGATGCAAAGAGGCGGAAGAGAGATTCATACGAACAATAAGGGGAAAAAGCAGGAGGGAATATAATAACCCGTAGTTCAGTAGACGGCGCCAAGACACAAGAAAAAAAACAGGAGAGAATGGAGGAAATAGAGAGGTCAAAGGACAGAAGGAAACCGGAATAGATGCAGTAACGCTAGAAACGACTACGGGCTCACCATAGCCCGTGCTGCTTGGAACTTCTTGTTCTAGGTAGCGAATCTTTAACAACAACAACAACAAGCTAGAAACGAATGTGTAAATATAAGAAGGGGAATAGGAAATAAGCTGTGAAAGTTATAGCCCTTCTAAAGCAAAGAAACAACCAAAACTCCTCCATAGTGAACAAGTCCATAAGATCCGTGACGAGGATTCGAACCTACGTCCGAGAGCATCCCAGACGCTTCCTTAATCGACTGAGCTACGACATGGTATAAAAATTGCAACCAGAAATTCTACTGAACTTACTTGGATCCTGCAGCCTCTCCGAGACACAAACCAGGATTTTACACAATTCCCCCCATGCACTCGACCTCCTCCATAGTCATATAAGAAGAAAAATGTTCTTATATAGTCATATAAGAAGAAAAGTGAACTAGCAATTGACTAGCTTACGAAAAAACGGAGGTGAATATACAGGAAATGAGAAATTTTGCGAGGAACTCGACACCAGGTTTCACGAAGTGTTCACAACTGAACCTGAACAGTTCTCAGGAAGAGGAGGAAGACCGAGATGAGAAACAGCTAAATATTGAGATAACACCAGAGGAAGAAAGGAAACAATTAACATCACCATATGCTGATTGCATTAAAAAAAAAAAAACAGGCACACATCCACTCCCGCCTCTGCCCCCCCCCCCCCACAGCACACACACACACACACACACACACACACACACACAACACACACACACACACACACACACACACACAAAAGAGACCAAAGAGCCAGAGCTCAACCCCCGCAAACACAACTAGGTGAGTACACACACACACGGGAGATATAAAATACCGTGAAAGATATTAAAAGGAATTGAGAAGTAGGCAAAGAGACAACGTTCTGAATGGAAACAAAAAAATTTAGAATGAGAGAACCCGGGTGGAAGCTGGAGACACAGATGAGCCGGAGAGGCATCAGGAAACCTTACTTAAGAATAAGAATAACCAGCAAGTGGAACGAGCCCCCAAGAAGATATTGCCAAGACCAGCTCCAATGACCACCTTCAAAAGGAAGCATGACAAGACGAGGAACAAAAAAAAAAGTTCTTTACATAACGCCTTTACCATCCAAGGAGGTGTGTGTCAAGACAGAGCTAGGGAGCTTACGCTCGACCTGAAGACTCACAGCTAAGCGAGAACATCTCTAGGTGAGTACAGACAGACAGACAGACGTCTGGACCACAGCAGCAGTCACTATAAGACCGGACCAACCACAGAGTCGCAACACCAGACGGACCAACCACAGAGACGCAACACAACACGGGGCCAACCACAGGTATTTCTTCCTCTCCCCCGTAATTAAATAGCCTTTCCCATGGGGTCCAAATACTGGTTCGCAGACGCCATCATTATTTAACCACGTGAGAGGAAAAATAGTTATAATTTGATTATAATGTTTTTCGATTTATAAAACGTGTGTTTGTTTATACTTAAGATGAGTTACTGGTCGAGTTTTTGTCGTGTAGTGTTGCTGTGTCATATATCTATACGAGAGTGGTTACATATTTATAATAATAATTGTATAATAGTCTGTTAATTGGATTTATAAATATCCAGAGTTTATTCTGAGCATTCTTTCT